GGTTTGGGATTTGGGGTTCAGGGTTGCCCTGCTTTAAGACGGTTGTCCAGTACGGTTGCGGGTTTGATGTAGACGATTTCAATCTAGGGTTTGGTTTTTAGGGGCTTTGGGTGCAGAGTTTGGGAGCCTTTGGCGGTATACTTTGGGGTCAATCGGTCAGTGGACTTAGTTCGTGGGTAAGTAGTGGAGCTACAGACCCATTAAACCATGCACAGAAAGAACTCTCAACCCTAAATCTGTGCTTCTGCTGCAGGGCAATAGCCTGCAAAACTCTGAACTCCTGAACTGCGAGGTTTTCTCACATTGCGCGTTATTGCACCTGGAGGAGTTCGTCCATCAACCGTTGTAGGCCCTCTCTTCAACCAACTCTGGTATCCTGCCACTAAAACCCTGATCCCTCAAGCCTCAAAAACAACCCTAAATCCGCAAAACCCTGAACCTGCACAACACCGAAAACCGCAAAGCCCTGAAGCGCCTTTAACTTTAATATACGGGGCCTGAATAATTCGAATAGGGTTTTGGAGCCCGTTATAGTATAAATATAATAAGGAACCCTCAAAAGAGTATAGGTAAGTATGAAGACCCCTATATTACCCCCAAGCGGTCTTCTAGTCATTGCTGTGAGGGCCCCCTTACCTTGGCCGCCTTCGAAGCCGAGCAGCCGAACCCTTTGCGACCTCCGACTGCTAGAATCATGGTAGGTTTAGGCGTTTTTGGTTTAGGGTTTAGGCTTTAGGGCTTATGGAAAAACCAATCCTACTATGATTCTAGCCTAAATCCTAGCTTTAGGGATTACGATTGATTTAGGGTTTAGAACTGAAACCTCTTCTTGGGCCTTTAGGTTCCATGACGGGTTGCCAGGGTGTAAGGTTGATTTTACGGGGTTTATGGGGCCTTATCAGGGGCTTAGGGGCAGCATCCGCATAGTCTAGGATAACCTTAAACCCGAAACCCTAAATCCTAAACTTTCACTTCACTTAAGTCCAGAGCGTCTAACGTGCAACCCCAAAAGCACGATCGCTATCGTTAAATCCTAAACCCTAAATCCTAAATCCTAAACCCTAAATCCTAAAAACCTTAAGGGCGTTCGGAGGGCTCGGGGCTGCGACCTTCGAGGCTGTCGGGTTAAGGGTTTTCAGGCATAGAGTCTAACCTTTTTTTTGCAGGTTGAGGCTTCTAGTCTGTAGGGGCTCTGCAGTTTAAGCTTTACGCCTTTTGGGATGTCGGGTTCGGGGTCTCAGGGCGTGAAAGTTGGGGGACTCCGGCCGTCACGTGCTTCACAGGCGCAAGGAGAGGGTAGGGGAGGAGACTTCGGAACTGAGGGACACTCCTTAGATATAATTTGGGGCTTAGGGCTTAGGGTTTAATCAGGGGCTCATAGGTTTAGGATTTAGGGTTTAGGGCTTAGGGTTTTTTCATGCCTCAAACCTTCAAGACCCTAAACCCTAAACCCTAAACCCTAAACCCTAAACCCCTGAACCCTAAACCCTAAACCCTAAACCCTAAACTCTAAGCTCTAGACTCCCTCAGCCCTCGGCTCCGAAGCAAAGGATATGCTGGGCGCCTTCCCAAACCCGAAAGGCTCAGGGTTTAGGGTTTAGGGTTTAGGGTTTAGGGTTTAGGGTTTAGGGTTTAGGGTTTAGGGTTTAGGGTTTAGGGTTTAGGGTTTAGGGTTTAGGGTTTAGGGTTTAGGGTGAACACCAAGCCCGCCGGAACCGCAACCGCCTTTTCTCAGGCTAGACCTCAAGCCTGCAGACCCTAAAACCCAAACCCTGAAGGCTTTAGGATTTCGGGTCTAGCGTTTAGGGTTTCGGGTTTAGAGTTTGGGGTAAGCCCTGAAAAACTCTAAACCCTAAAATCTCCAAACCCTAAACCCAACCTGAAGACCTATATAAACAAAGGGCGCCGTAAACCCTTAAATCCTAAAGGTCTCACCAGGAAAGATCCAACCCCAAACCCAACTGCTAAAAGCCTCACCCCTAAACCCTGAACCCTCGCTCCCAACAACCTCACACCTAAGCCCTTAAAACCTAGACCCTAAACCCCAAATCCCAAAAACCTACAACCTAAACCCTAAAAACCTAAAACCCTGAACCCAAACTCCCCAAAACCTCACCCCTGCACGCTCAAAACCTAATCCCTAAACCCGAAATTCCGCACACCCCAAATCCTTTCACCCTGATCTCCTCCCTAACCCCTAACCCCTAAACCCTAAACCCTTTAGGGTTTAAGGTTTAGGGTTTAGGATTCAGGGTTCAGGATTTAGGGTTTAGGTTTAGGGTTTAGGGTATAGGGCTTTGGATTTAAGGTTCAGGGTCAAAGCACTAGGGCTCAGGGTAGACCCACCCTAACCCCTAAAGCCTAAACCCTTTAGGGTTTTGGTTTCAAGGTAAACTCCACATCCCAGACTTCGGGCCTCCAATGACTGAACGCGCCTGCAGTCCTCGCAGAGTGCGCGGCGCGCGCCTCAGGTTCCAGACATACTTAAGGGACTCCTTCGGAGTCTCTGGGACCAGGTTTCTATAGGGTTTCTCAAAGGGTACTATATGGGTTCTAGAGCACTTAGAGGATCATGGGACTAGTAAGTAGGGTGATAATTAAGGTAACTACACTTATATTTACTTCTGACCCCAAGTAGGGACTTATAACCTTACTTACTAAGTCCCACGATCCTCCAAGTACCCAAGAGGCTTCAGGGAGGGTTCCTGTAGGGCTCCTTTATAGAAGGATGTATGATAGTTCTAGAAGAGATTTAAGCTTTGGGGTTTAAGGCATAGGCTTTCAGAGCGAAGAACTCAAAGTTTAATGGCTTGGAACTTAAGGTTGAAGGTTGAAGGTAACCCTAAACCCTAAACCCTAAACCCTGAACCCTAAACCAAAGATTAGGCTTCGGGTTCAGGGCTGGGCGAGCAGTGGCAAGGGCTGAAGATTTGGGCTGAGAGAGGGGACTCCGTACCTTCGATTTTGTTACAAAGCCTCTAAAGCACGGATGAATACGCGCCGAAATCCCGATCTATCTATCGATCTATCTCTATCTATCTATCTATCTATCTATCTATCTATCTATCTACCTGTCCGTCCATCCATCTATCTGCCCGTCCTATCTGTCTGTCCATCTGTCCATCTGTCCATCTGTTCATCTGTCCATCCATCTATCTTTCTTTCTATCTTCCTTAATCTCGAGAGTGTCGGAAGGATGGTCGTGAAATCCTTCGCGCCGAGCGACGCCGTGTGACGCCGAGCCCGCCGAGCGCCGAGCGACGCCGAGGGACGCCGAGCGACTCCGAGCGCCGAGCGACGCCGAGCGACGCCGAGCGACGCCGAGCGCCGAGCGACGCCGAGCAACACCGAG